CTCTAAAGTACAAAGTACTGACATCAAATCATTGCTGGAAATTTCAGAAGTAAATTCACATAGTGAAAGAGGTAAAAATATAGAGCTTCATGTGCTTATGTTGGAAAAGGAAAACTGTAATAAATCAACCTTGTGTAGTCGCTTGATGATTACTTCTAGAATCTTGTGTTCAAGTTAGGTTGGGAATCAAAAAAGGGTGCTTATTGTAGATAAAGTGAAACCTTGTCTATGTGACAAGGAAGTGTCCAATGTGTCTAAACTACTAAGAAAAGGAACTATCTTAAAGCTCAAAGAAGCTACAGTAAATGACTAAACCTTCATGTAAACTTTTTGAAAGAATAGTTTTGGATTTTTAAATTAAGGAATGGCTTATGATTTTTTAAAGAATTAAAAACATTTAATTTCTGCATGCACTGAACTTCTGTGTGTGTGTGTGCGTGTGTGTGTGTGTGTGTGTGTGTGTGTGAGAGAGAGAGAGAGAGAGAGAGAGAGAGAGAGAACATCTTGCATGAACACAGGGAGCTTAAAACATTTCAAGTCTGAAACCATTTCAGGTGGGAACTCATGGACACAGTGTTTTGTAGTAGAAAGAGTCACTTTAAGAAAAAAAATGTAGAATTCTGTTTCTGCTTTTTAGTTATAGCATTCTGTTTCAAATCCTGCTTCAAGTTATAGCCCCAAACTCTCACTCATATTGAAAGTATAATGTCTCATGTGAGAAGAAAGCCAAGTGTTAGTAGCCTTATTCTAGTCATTAAATTTCTAAGTGTGAATCCATATGAAAAATCCTATCCTAAAGTGAACTCTATATGTTAAGCAGTTGAGATGATTTTAAAATGTAAACTTTTAACAAAAAAAAAAAAAAAAGGGTAAGGTGTAAGAATATAAAAGGAGCAAATTAAAGAATTCTGTGACATTCTATCCTTTTAGATCTCAGAAGCATATGTTTTATAAAAGCAAGATAGCACTGTCCAATGAAATAACTCTAAAATAAACCCCAACATTTTCTTTAGAGCACATACAAAAGACTCTTCATTGCATAAGCAAAGTAGATAAAAGCTGCTGTAGGGGAAATAATTCTCTGGCATTTAGAGAAGGCACATGCTACCTGAAAATGTGTGTGTTTATAAAACATGAGGCAAAGAAATACCATAACTTGGTATATCTTAATTATGAAGTTTTAGAAAGCATTCCTTTTTTTTTTTTTTGGCTCTAAATCCTATTAGAACAACCACACTAACCCTGTTTTCCTTCCTGTAATTTCTATTAGTTTCTCCTGATAATTGTATCAGAAAGTTCTTGATTATTTATAATTCCTCGACTATTTTATTAATTTTTGAGATTATATTTTTTAGACACAATATTATTAAGAATGAACATATATAAATCTTATAGATTTATATGAAAAATCCCATGTTAGAAAACACATAAAAGTGAATTACACAGATAAATCCTTATAAATGCTTATGAATAAAATACTAATTTATAAAGCTTTGTGATGGAGCAATTTAATGTGCAGACTAAAATTCTGTAAAATGTATTAACATGAAATAACATTTAAGGTTCTGTTTTAAGCTGAATGAAGAACAAATTGGCATACTGACAGCATACGACTAAACTGACTTTTTTTTCAAAATTTTCCAGAAGTTATTTATAAAATAAATAATTACAGCTATGTTATGCAATAACTGTATTAAAATATTTCAACTGTGTATCTGTTTTCCTTTGGAACTAAAGGCAACTTGTTGCAGTAATTTTGAAATGGTTAAAAATTTGCAGACTGAAAATAAGGATAAGGCCCAACCTGAAGCAAAGTTAAAAATGAACAAATATTTTAAAAATGTTTTCAAATTAATATATGTATTAATGAGATTCCATTGTTTTACAGCCTTGTTAATTTTTTCACAATACAGAATTATTCCCTTTGGGTGTGGTTACCATAGTTCTCCTACCATTCAATCACCCACAATCCTTCACCACAGTCCCAAAGTCGACAAATCCTGATGGTGGAAATACAATCATAAATATTTCACTATTCTCATCACAACGAAAAAGACATTCTTTTTTTGTGTATTTATATGAAATGATGGGTGATAATTAAACTTATGATGGTAGTCATTTCACAACATGTGAAAGTCATTTGCTGTATACCTTAAACTAGATACAGATACAATTGCTGTATGTCAATTATATCTCAATAAAACTGTGAATAAAGAAATACTTTACCAAAAATCATCCACAGGGGAAAAAAAAATCAAAATTTGATGATGAATTCATTGAAAATAGCTCTGTGTCTTATGTAGAAAATGAATCCATTTATATTGCTATTTATTATTCTATTTCTTCAGTTATTATCTGTTTATTTTGATAGGCAATCCCATGGGAAACTACTTGATGACTATTTTACACAAGCAGACCACTACTCCACTTAAAAAATTAGGAAATATGGAGGTAACCCTTGGAGGGTTGTTTTCCCTGAGAAGCTTCCCATTTATACCGTACAATTGTATTGACTCAAGGAGTAATACTGAAGCCTGGAACTGTTCAGTCAGCATTTTAAACTATTATGAGCTACCTTCTGAACCATTGCCAAGTTAATAGACAATGAAAGATAATGAGCTTGAAATTGGGTGTTAAATTGCATTTTTGGTTCTCTCCTTTTTTTTTTTTTTTTGAAGTTTAACTGTTTCCTGCAGAAACAAAGTCATGTTTTGATGTATCGCTATGTAAATATGTATCTTAAGCCATGGAAAGCAAAAGAAGAGAAAAAGGGCAAAGAACTGTATTTTATGTAGGAGGGTTATATATTAACATAGGAAAATTAAAATACACTGGATTATAAAACTCCTAGATTGTAAACTATACTGAATTTATGTAAAATGAAGATGCTACATTCAAAGAATATAAAAAGGTATATTATTCATGGCCTAGAGTCACCTCCAAAACCCATAAAGTAGATTTATCCTTGTTCAATTACTAGACTTTTAGTAGTGCCTCTTTGTGTTGTTATTTGCACGATGTAAATTTTTTGATTCAAATGAGGAAAAAAAGATAATGAATGACGGAGCTGAGTGATGATGCTATTTTTAACAATTTTCCTTTTCACTTTGCCAGTCACAGAGGAGACTGACAGTCTTATTCTAAATAAACTCTGGGTTTTTATTCCATTTTATTAAACTGGACAAGGGAAATATTTGATTTTCGAAAATCATTTTTAAAGTAGTTAAAAAATGAACACCAAACTTCACTAATGTCATTCACCTGAATTTTTGAGGACTGAAGATTTCATTATGATGGGAAGAAAGGCTTATCCTCATTAGTATAATTGTAGAATCTTTCCTTTACTTCCTTTTAAACTAATGAGTTACATTAATCCAGGTTCATTTTTATAAGCCTCTTGGGGCTAAATGTAAAGGACAGTCATCTTAGAAAACAATAAATTAAAAAAAAAAAGCATGTACCGTGTATTAAGTGCACGTATTTCATAAGACCTAGGTTAATACAACTGGCATCCAGTTTAATTAATCCTTGTTAGTGTAACAACTAATATCCCTCCCTAGCATGTTTCCTTTAAACATTAGTATGTTAATTAAATGTTTTTTTTAAAGATTTTTCTTTGTACTTCAATATGGCATTTATACTACGTAAATCTCTTCTCAATAACTACCTTATAGAGATGTTTTCTTACAATATCTGGTCTCTTGCAGAAATTCTGGAGCCTTTTTGAAAGCTGTTCAGGTGTAGAATACAGATATTCAGCTGCAGGAAAAACAGATACATTTTTAATGAAACAAAAACCTCAAAGCACACACTCGATATTAGTCACTTTACTAATTAAAAATGCATATTGCTCTGTGCCGCCTCGTGTTTTACATTATTTAAGCATGATTTTATAAGGTTACCTCAGCTCACAAGGATGTTTAATGCTAAATAAGACTGTGTAGTTGTGCTGTTTAGACATCTCCTTTGGGTGATTAAAATACATTATTCTAATGTAACACAATGCATATGTGATATATTTAGTGATGAGCATTTTTTCAAAGAACTGGTACTATAGCCGTATGTATCCTGTACAACAGTTGCATATTATTAACTAGTCAATTGTTTAAATAATTTGGTGTGACTTTCAGTCCTTGATTTTTCTCTGTGTATATCATTAAAAAAAAAATCTGTAAGCAATTGCAGCAACACTGACCTGCTTATAAAAATCTATCATTATGGGATGTGTATGCTAACAATGAAGAATGCTATTTGGAAACTTGCTTTTTTGTTATCTTAAAAGAACAGATGGTAAATATAAGCTTGCTCTAATGTATTAAAACACATAAAATTTTCCTTAACACTAACATGTTGACTTGCCAAATAAACAATTGCTCCTGCCTAAGTTTATTTTCAAACTTTCTAATTTAGCATGAATCATATTAAATCTCAACAAAGACGAAAGTACATTAAAGCAGCTACCTGGAAATATTTCAGGATAAACCAAATCTTTGGGACAAAGTGGGTAACAACCACAATACACAGCTTCCAACCTAAAGAAATTTTAGAAAGAGGATAAAAATACATTAAAAAGATATTACTGTCATAGCCAGAAAGTGGTTTTGTTTGCCTAAGTTAGCAGTGTAAGTCCAGAGTTAACTGGGACGAGAAACATGGTCGGCAGTACAATCCTAAAAGCCAGAGTTGCTCTTTTAAAAGATTTTATTGATCATATATGAATTTCATAGAACAGAACCAACAGCATATGTTTTGTTCACTGAATTAATCAAAGCGTAGCTCTGCATTTTTTTTTTTGTTTTTAAAATACTGTTTAACACATTTTATAATCAGCAGATAAACACATGTAACAACATGGTAAAGTATGGACAGCTTTTCTTAATAATGCTGCAAAGCCCCAGAATGTTCATTTTTCAAAAATGTTTAAATAAGATAGCAAATACTTAACTTTAAGATGATAGCCATAGAAATGATTGAGATACTTTTAAAAGCAAGAGAAAAAAAATTTACAATCTGTTGTGATGGGGCATTTTCATTTTAAGCTCATGCTTCAAAATAATTTGCTATTATGCAGAATGTAAAAATATTCCCCCCTTTTATTGAAGAATTCTAATGAAGATTATGTTAACAAACATTTTGCTTTCTTAACTAAAAATTCAGCTCATTTTCCATTTTTCTAGAAAAGAGTACTTTATTATGAAACAAACAAAAATGAAAAGTTTCACTTTGTGAGAGCATATCCCAAGGACCACCTATAGGAAGTTTTTCTTCATGTCATTGTAGTGAAGGGTTAAGCAGAGGGGAGGTATTGCATCTGGATGGCTGTGTTAGCCCTGCATAATGGCTATTGATCTGACATATAATAAGAACCTTAAAGATACCACTGTAATTTCTTTTGGCTAGAATTTATGCGGTGAAATTCAAAATACTCTTTAAAATGTTTATTTTATGAGAAACTTTGAATTGCATCCAAAATGTTGACCAAAGGCAGAATTTTATTTTGAACGGCAGATTTTTTTCAACCTAAGAATAATTTGAAGTTATGTCAATGTTTACCTTGTTTATTTACAGTGACAAAGTACATGCAATTTAAGCTGTTTTAAGTGGGTGATTTTTTTTTTCTATTTTATTATGTATATGAAATTAGTTTAAATGAAAAGTACTTTGAGCTGCAAAGTTTGGAAAGATTTTGAGTTCAAAGTTTTGTTTGATAACTGATGAAAGTTACGAGATAACACAGTAGAGATTCACAGGATCTAATTACTGACTATTAATTCAAAACCCCAACTAATATTTAATATTTTTCTTTTCTGCATAAATAGGGTATACATAGATACTCTTATCGTAAGCCCAGCTCTAAAGCTACAATGTGACTGCATTATAAAACATTCACAAAAGTTTTGAGCACATAAACCAGTGATATTCTTTATGAACCAAAAGAAAATATGCACTTTATCTGAAGACACTGTTTTAAAATGCTGTGCCAATCTAAAAGCAAATACATATGAACATTCTCTTATAATTACATAAAATCAAAGAAGTGAAGTCACAGGCATTTCAGAAAGTGCACATGTTATCTGCTTTTTAATAATGGATTTGAATTAGTGTTCTGTTCCCCGAAAGAAAACTGCAGGCCAAGTTACATTTTGAGTCATCGTATGAGCATGCATCATGCCATTTGCAAAAAACCCCTGCTAATTAAAAGACAGTGAGATAGGAATGGCACTGTCTGGTTTAGAAAAAAAAAATTACAAATTTGGGGATTCAAATTTATGTGTGTATTATCTTATTTATGACTATATTTCTATTTCATTAAGCAAAATCCCCACCACTTTTGGTTATAATTTTGACTTGTTAAAGTGCTAAACTTTATCACATACATCATTTAGGTCAGGACTATGTTGTAAAATATATTAGATAGGCCGTAATAATTTTTAAAAATTTATAAAATTAATTCTCATAAGTTTCTCATATTTTGTTATTTTAAAGAAAATGATCATCTCATGAAAATAATATAATTATTCATCATTTCAATTCTTATGCACTATCAGTTAAATAATAAATAGGGTTCCAATTGATCTATTGTTAAAATGACTAGCAAATGACCTTTTTATTCCAATTAACAAATCATCTGCTAAATCTATGAATCTTAATATTCAGATCTATTCACTTCAATTCATACAATTTATCTGCAAATAGTTGTTGGGCTTTTGATTCTAAATATAATTAGCTGATAATTTTGCTTGGCTGAATTACTTTTCTGGAGGGCCTGCAAAGGCTCTCAGTCGCATTATCTAGCAATAATGAATCTGATAGGTGAAATTTTTTACTGTAATGAGGATGAGACACAGTTGTGACACCTGAGTCTACTAATAACAGAAGACTGCTAATTATCGACAGCACTTTTTTGTGTGATGCAAGGAGAAAAAAAATCCCTCATTATTAAAAAATAAAAAGTTACAATTATAAGTGACACCGGAGGAGAGTAAATAAAATGGAGTGATTAAAACATTGCTGCTTTAAGGGTGTTTTTAATTAAGTGGAAATGCTAATGTTGTCATACTTAGCAGATGGGATTAAAATTAGTTATTGTAAGTAACTCATATTTTATGTTATGGTTTCCACAGCATGTCTACAAGATCTAAGAAAGTGATACATTCCATAAGACATTTTAAAAATGAAATTCTCATACTCTTTACAACTCATAATAATGAACATCATGAATAAACTATTGAAAAAAATCCTGCCAAGGATTTTACCATAGTGACTTAACTAACAAGGAATGTAGCCATAATGTACTGGACTGTTACAATCTCACTGATGGTATGCCTTTTGCTTTGCTGATTGTTGCATTCCCTATTTCATTCACACTCAACAAAAACAAAAGTTTGGTGCTTGGGCATTTAGCCAACATCAAATGTGGTGTCAAGAAGGTAGGGCCTGGATACAAGGAAAGATCATGACCACCCACTAAGGTGATGTTCTAAACTAAAACAGAGGATG